GCTAAAACTGCAGTCTTGAACCATTTGTATCAAAACGTGGGGCACCGGGGGGACATTGCGTGTTGTCACTTGTGTGCTGCAGACTGATCACCTCAAAGGGTTGCTCCTTGACCGTTTCCAGCATTTCCGTGCATCATCAAAGGCATTTTCCACGCAAGGTCAAGTTGATGTCCCTGTGCCATCTCAAAGACTTTAATGATTCGGATGATCCAACTGGTGTGTTTCCCAGAACGTTGAAAGAACTTGATGCGCTTCGGGTCCAACATCCAAGCCACCCAGCAGCAGCCAGGGACTGTTTTGCAGAAGCTTCGACAAAACATTGCGGGGCCTCAAGTACGGCACGTCAGCAGTTTGCCCGTTGTCCAGGTGGGTGTGCGTTGTAATATGTATATTCCGTGGGGAAAGCAGCTGGTGGTCCAAGTATTGGATTTATCTGGGACAGAAGTGGGTTTCAAGGAGTTGTAAACATTCAAACTGCTAAGGGTGGAATCATAGGGGTATAGTTTTCTTTGCATAGATCAAGCAGGAATCTTAAAAGTAGCGACAACGAAAAGGTCACTGAAACAAAGCGGTGAGTTCAGAGCCATGTTGAATCCTTTGCAGCCCTTTTGTGCTGCCCACATGCATTCCTCAGAGCTTCGGGAACCTAAGAAGCCGTTGGATTTGCATAGATCATTATTGTTGTTTCAAATCGCGTTCACCTTGCTCGGCCGTGGCAAATTCTGGGTCCAAGCCGTAGCTTAATGGTGCGCTTCAACAAACCGAAAGCGGCGGCGCAGCCCATGGCGAGTGCTGGTGGTGGCAGCGCTGGGCGGTGTTGCCACGGTGGGCCGCGTGATTTACATCTTCGGGCACACTGGTGGCAATTTGTCCTCACGTCAGAGGGCGGACACCAATTGAACCCAACACTAGCAGGCGATAGGTTTGGCATATGGACTGGCAATGCTTCTGGGAGTTGATTATCCATGTGGATGCGGCTGGCTGGAATGGTAGGATTTTGTTTGGATTGGCCGAGGGGAAGTAGCCAGGCCCGTTTTGATTGCAGAGTCGTTGCAGACCTGGGTTCTTGCCGCGTCGAGGTAGATATCCGCAGAGCAGGATCGTGCTTCGAGGGGAAGGACCTGAGGGGCCTGCAGTGTTGTGCACATTCAGCCAGCGTGTGGACGTAAAGATTGACGAGATCCTTGAATTGCAGCAGATCGAAATCAGACCAACATGGAAGAATGCTGGTGGTGTTAGCCCCGGGTCCATTGTCATAGTAGCGACGCGGAAATATTACAAAATTCTGCGGTACAGCGGTAAAAGAACAGGACATGTTTGGAATTTATGCGGCAGCAATCACGTGGCAATGCCAATCGGCAGCTCTGTGGCAAACGCATTTACTGACCAGCGGACTTCGTGAACCACTCAGAAAAGAGTGTAGAGGCTAAGAACATTTCATGTGTGCTGTGCTTTGTGTGTGCTCGCAAATATCCGTGTGTCAAAAGCAGCCGCAATCAAAAAGTGGGCTGGGTGCAACGTGCTCACGGCAAAAATGAAACTATATTATACTATATTTGGCAACTCGCTGGGAGCGGTGGAGAAATTTTTGGGGACGCAGGCTTTTAGAGAAAAATATGTTGAAAAAAGACAAAATTTGCGCGACAAGAAATAACTGCAGAATTAGAAGTTTGGGTTTGCCAGGTCGACTTTGCAGCTGCATCGGTGAAGTTAGTGTGTTGCACAGAAGACAAGATTCGCCAGAAACGGTGTCGGCCGGAAAGTTTCATAATATACATTTTTTGTTTTCCGGCATCCGGCATCCGGCACCGGCATCCGGCATCCGGCATCCGGCATCCGGCAACCGGCATCCGGCACCGGCAACCGGTACGGGATCCCGCGACCGGCATTCGGCACCCGGCATCCGGCACCCGCCGGCACCCGGCCACCGGCATCCGGCATCCGGCACCACCGGCACTGGCATCCGGTCCTGGCACCGGCATCCGGTATCGGCATCCGGCACCGGCATCGATGCTGCCACCGGCACACCGGCACCCGGCACCCGGCAGCTAGCATCGGCATCCAGCACTGGCCACCGGCATCCGGCATATGGCACCCGGCATCCGGCATCGGCAACCGACACCGGACATTTGGCACCGGCAATTCCCTGAGAATCGATGTCGGCATGTAGATCAAAAATAGCGATGTAGTCAAAATAGGGTTACATCTACGTTATCGGTTGATTTTGGTGACATTTGTCGGAAGCTGTCGGAAATCTACCGGATTTTGTCGGAAACTGATGGAAAAAAAACGCAGACATCCTTTGTTTCAAAGATGCGCATGCGAGTTGATCATGGCTATATATGTAGTTTAAAACCGTGAAAATCGTTACGAATTAATCCCTTCCCCCTAATATACTATTACTAAACGTCCCCCCTAATAATAAACACTGCAAGTAGTTTTTAATATTAAGATTGTATTTATTATAGGGAACCAAATCGAAGTCATGTTATTCATGGGTTATAATGGAGGAAGGGATTAAAATCAATTAAATTTCTTTATATATAGTAGGCGCAGATGACACGGGACTTTGCGGCCGATTTAGCCGAGGTTTTTTGGCACATGACATGGGATTTATGTATCGATTTTGCTATGGTTTTCCTTTTTAAACATGACATCGGAGTTATGCACCGACGTAACGGGCAGGTATTTTTCAATTTTTTTGACAGATGAAATGGGAATAAATGATCAAATTTACACATGACACGGGACTTCCAGGAAAACTCAGACATCCAAGATTGGAAGTGACAGGTCATGAGATGGGAAGACAAATTTACCACAGGAGATGGGACATCCAAGATGGCAACTGGCTGGTTGGGAAACGGGAAGAGGAATTTACCACAGGAGATGGGACATCCAAGATGGGAACTGGCAGGTAGGGAGGCGGGAAGAGGAATTTACCACAGGAGATGGGACATCCAAGGTGGGAACTGGCAGGTAGGGAGACGGGAAGAGGAATTTACCACAGGAGATCGGACATCCAAGATGGCAACTGGCAGGTAGGGCGACGGGAAGAGGAATTTACCATAGGAAATCGGACATCCAAGATGGCAACTGGCAGGTAGGGAGCCGGGAAGAGGAATTTACCACAGGGGATGGGACATCCAAGATCGGAACTGGCAGGTAGAGCGTCGGATGGATTGCAGAATGAAAATGTCAAATAGATTCAAATAGTAGCAAAGATTCGGGGAAAGATGAAAGAGAAAAATGCAAGATAAAGTGTCAGACTCAATGCCAACAAGATGTGACAGGGATGGGCACAAGTGAGATTACCCCATAAAAAGAAACACACGTCCGGTCAATATGGGTCACTCGAGGTAAAATTATTTCAAATTTTCGAAAGATCCCTGAGTGAAATGCAGTTCCGATGCGATGCTATTTATGGGGGCGATCATTGTCAGATTGGGCCTCTGCCATGCAAGCAATTGATTTTTGAGAAAAATGCTGGCAACACAAATTCTAGACCACAGATCTGTCACTTAGCCACTGCACATTTTCATCCTGAAAACAACCTTGTTTCCTTCTTTTTTCCTCCTTTCTCCCATGCATACTTCGATTAAAAAATCTAGCTTAAGTAAACCCCCCTGATCTGATCCCCGGTTTTGTTTTGCTGATATGTTACCATAGAAACACAGAAATCGACAGGTTCATCGCACGCGCACTGCCAGTGCTTTGTGCAATGCCTGCATCAGCACACAGCCTTAAAAACAATTTTTCAATTGGGGGCCAAGAAGTTGGAAGAGCTCCGAACAAGCTACTTGACATACAGTGGGCATGTCATGCATGGCGTTTATGAAGGCCACAACCAAGAAGAGGTTATGGCAAAAATTGTTGCAGCAGAGGCTTCGTGGCCCGAGCACAAGAACGCGGAAAACATATGTCCACAGTATCAGCGCCGCCGGGCTGTGCCTGCTGATTGTGGAGACGCGGCCGAAGCAAGGTCTTGGGCCATGGAATATTTGAAAGACGGCGTGGCGCGTTTACAATTTTTGAAACAGCATCATTATCATGTGATCAATGCGGAAACTGGAGAAAGGGTACCTCTGCATGGCTGCCAAAAAGGAGACAAAGCAGGAGTCTGCAAAAACGATTTTCCGCGCCAAGCATGGCGAACCGAGCGGGGCATGGTGCTATGTCCATGCCAAGCCCAGGTGCATGGCATGGCAAGCCAAGGACGTCAGAATCGGATCGGGTCGTTGCATGGCCCGTATGGAAATGAGTGGCTGAATTGCTGTCATCCTGCAATATTGGCAGCGTTGCATGGTGTCAATGTTGACGTCCAACTGCCTTACCGCTTGCCTTTCGACTGTGATCATTGAAGCAGCTCTGTGTCGAAGCCGTACAGCGCGCTCAAAGTGCACAGGCGGGGTATTGTGCAGATTATTGTGCCAAAAACCAGCCCATGGCATTTCATGAAATTAAAGAATTTCAGAAGGGGCACCAGCAGTGGCAGAGCAATTACCAGCAGGAACCACTGGAAAAACTTGGCGAAGGGCACGTCACTCGTTTTCTGAGTGATGCGTACTGCAAAGGCCTCGCTCTTTCTTCCTTTTCGCGCCTCGTTTATCGTTTTTGTCGTTTTTCCTTCCCTGGGGGTTTTGGCACTTGAGGGAGGGACTTTGTTGCTATTGCTCAGTTGTTTGGTGCTTTCATGGTGCTGGGTGGCTTTGGTTATTGTCCCGCCTTCGAAGGCGCAAACAGCGAAGTTACACGGTGGGTGCGCATTGGGCTCAAAACACGGTTGGTGACTACACAGCGCTGTTGGCTCGGTCACCTCACTTTTTTCCTCGAGTAGCACGGATGTGCTAAAAGGGGCTGCGGTCACGTCAAGTGGCTTACATGACATGCCATCTCTACTCCTAGCTAGCTACTTAGCTCCAAACTAGGTGTTTTACCCCTAGCAAGTTGCCACCCTCCTTAGAGTGGACTTGTCGGAGTGAGACGCTACTGGTGAGACGTCCCTACATCCCCAGGAACCGGTCTTCAGCCCGTCTCCATTCTTCGAATTCTGCTGGAAACATATGGGCGAACGGGTCGCTCCGCTCGATGCTGGCTGCATCGGCTTCGCTCTCCGGTTCCCGGGTCGGCGGATCTGCCCGCTCAGGCGGAGCTGCCCGCTGTTCCGCGGTGCTGCCCGCGCTGGCTGGTGCCGCCTCGGACTCACTTGACTCAGAGTCCTGGAGGTCCGACATGCCGTCGGGATGCTCTCCTCGTAGGAGAGACTCTTCTTGGTTGCGCCATTCAATCAACTCCTGCATGGTCATTCTGGCCTCTGCGGCTTCTTGGACCCAACGTTCCTCATGCCACCTCTCGATCCCTCGAGGAGTAAGTTCCTCAGGAGACCGCGGGGCTTCCGCTGGTGTCCGCGGGTTTGCCGCTGGCTCTGACCGCGGGGTTGCCGCTGGCGCTGGATTAGTCAGCGTTAGCTGCTGATTGTTTCTGGTGGCAGTCACCCTGATTCGTAAAGTGATCTGCTGATCTTGGATGTGCAATTGCACCTCATGGCCCGTGTCTTGCGTTACTGGCTCGATTGGACATAACCAGTCCACACAACAAGCGATGAACTGTTGTGCCAGTTTCCATATCAGCACACAAGTGCCGATTGCGGCCAAGAAGTGCAATGCGTACCATTCGTATGGGGACAGGCAGTACGTTGGCTGCCCTGCCACAGCCTGAACTTGGCTCAGGACAACAAGTGCCTTGATGCACCCGACCATTTGTCCATTTTGCCGATAGGCCGTGGCGGTTCTTCCCGCTCGATCTTGGTCTTTAGTCTTTAATCCAACCAACACAAGCTGGCGTAGGAGTCTTCCACGCATGCTGCTTGGTCACGGTTGAGACCTTGACAGAGATCTTCTTGCTCGAAGAGAGCATATCTTCTCCGTCACGCGCTTCATACATGCCTAAACCAGGCATGGTTTGCCTTACTTCCGTTCCACTCTTTGGATGCTTGGTGAGGAAGTTGGCACAATTCACGGTGCCCTTGACCTTGCCCAAAGCTATCTGCTCGGACTGCAAAGCTCCTTGCACATAGACCTCACAGACTTCTAGGTGTCTGAGCTTGGAGCCTGGTCCAATGCGCTTGGAAGCTTGCATTGCCGATGAACCGTCCGTCCATAGGCGGGGCTTACCGCACTGCTGGCCAAAATCTCGGGTGATCAGCTCCTTGAGGAAGATGGCTTCCCGAGCTGCCCTCGAAACTCCCTTGAGCTCAGCGTCCGGCGAACTTGTCGCTGGTAGGCCCGGTTGGGTCTGTGTGCCACATGCGACGATTGCATCACACACAACTGCTAGGTAACAGTCGGTGCTTCGCCGTGTTTCTAGGCATCCGGCCCAATCCGAATCGCTATACAATTCGCATGGCCACTCTGAGCTACAGTTGGGATCACAGGTTGTGTGTGACTCGGCCAACATGTGGATGCGACTGCAAGTATGCCGCGAGAGTCTTGACGGCTTGCATGTCACTTTTTCGCGGTTGCGACATGTGTCGCGCTGCTTCTTTCACTGCGTACTGGATCTCCCTCCTGTCCAGCGACAGGTAGATCGCTGATCCTACTGCCGAGCGATACAGCTTGGCACCTGCCTCGCCAAGAGGCTCCGTTTCTAAGAGGTTCAGTTGTTTGGAAGGAACCTCACTGCGGTCTCTGGCGGAGATTCCCGCAGCAGCGATGACAGCTTTGATGTGCTTCTCATCTGGTATCGTGATGATAGCATCTTTGGTTCGTACCTTGGTGCGACCCAGGTACTCAACAGCTGTTCCTTCGCTTTCGAGCTCTCCTGCTTGGACCTCACAGTGTTTCGGCATTTCGACTTCAACCAGGTGGTTGACAGCCTCTTTTGGTCCAGCCATACGGATGTCGTCTATGTGGTGAATCAGGATGATCCCTGACTTGTCACAACGGAAGACACATGGATCCTTCTCACCACGAGAGAAAAAATACCGCCGTGGATCAACCTTTGAGCAGAGGATTTCCTCCAACTCATTTCTGTAGACGGATCCGGCTGTCCTTCTGCCGTATAGGTTTCCATCCAACCCGAAGAAAAGTTCTTTGAACGAATCCTTGTACCAATCCTTCAATTCGGGGCTGAGAGTTTCTAGCCACTCAAGGAAGATGTCGTGCCACTCAACTGGTGCACGCATGTAGACATGCTTCCCTTCGCTGGCTCCTCGGTCAGCTCCAATCAAGAAGGCTGCGACGATGTCCAGACTTCGGGCGTAGTAACCCTTTGTCAGAGCATAGACCTCCAGAAGATTGTGCGCTTCTGGGGTAGGAGTTGGAACGAACACGTCCAATCCCTCCTCCTCGGCTGCTGTGTAGCGAGCCTTGACGTCAGCGCATGTGAAACGCGACTTGTATGCTCCTTTGGAACACTTGTCAACCCATTTGTGTGAGAAGATTTGTGAACCTTTTGGGATTTCTTGGCGGTGCACGGGTGTGAAGGCACCTCGCTCCCAAAGCTTTTGAAGTTGGACTTTTCGCGCTTTGGTGACCTCCTCTGGGTCGAGCAATTGGTCGACGAAATCCGTCACATTGGCTATCCTTTGCAAAGCTATTGGATTGCTCTTGTCTTCGGAGTTGGCCCATTCTTGGATGTGGGACCAGATCTCGTGATTTGTTAAATGCTGCAAGATATCTGCTTGCCTGGACTGCTTGGCTTCAGCTTGTCCGGGTGCAAGCGCTGCCTGATCATCCCTTACTCGCTTCCCTCCTTGACCAAGTCCGCTCGGACTCATCGGTTCGTCCGGGAGGCTTTGAAGCGACGATGACCACCCCGCACCTCGGAAGGGCGGAGGCTGCCCGCTCGGCCTTGCTGCCGGCGGAGGATCTGCAGCTTCAGATCTTGCTGGCGTTGTGGGTACGCAGCTTAGCGCGTCGTCGTCGTCCGCGGGGATACCCGCTGGGAAGTCCTCGGCTTGGTCGCCAAGTAGGTCTTCCAGCTGGGCTGCGGCTTGCACGACTAACCCATCCTGGTCAACGTTTTGACCATCTTCTGCCAGTGTCGGATGTTCTTCCTCCGGGGGTTCTGATGCCAGCGCGGTGGGGCCCGCTGCGGCTGGCGCTGGGAGTGCCACTGGCTGTGACAACTCTCTGTTGATCTTGTGCCTCATCCCGTCGCGGGGTTGCCAAGGAATTCCTTTCATGTCGTTCATCAACTCTTGACTGGTCTGTGATTCCTTTGGCAGTCTTCTCACCGATCTCACGGCGATTGCCCCAGACGACGTGCCGAGCACATTGCTGTCGTCTCTGTCCAGCTTACCTAGCCATACGCCTTTGATCCACCTTCGCTGCATCTTGCCCCTCGGGGTCGGTACTTTACCAAGAACTACTTTGCCTAGCATGGCGACTGGGTGTGAGTAGTCGCTGCCAGTTGTCAGGCGGTAGGGCGTGAGCCCATCTTTTCCTCTCACATGGAAACGTGCTATCAGCCATGCTGCATGGCGTACAAGCCACGGTGTCAAGTTGCCGGACACATCCAAGGAAGGATACCGCTTCCTGACGTCGAGCCACAAGGCTCGGATTTGGCTTGCTACAAACCCATTCATGGATTCCACAGCTCCTTGTGATTGGTGCTGCTTGGGCGGAGACTCCCGCACAGAGACTCGGTTGGGAACATGTCTTTGGATTGACCCAGCCAGAGCTCTGATTGAGGGCTCGCCATCATGCTGTAGAACGACTTTGTTGTACCCAAGGTTCTTCAGGTAGAGGTCCACATTCTGTAGACAATACCTGGACTGGGCTACCTCGGTTGACTTGTTGGGAAGTTGAAGTGCCAGCGGCCAACCTGTCACCGTGTCAGTCAGACACAGGATTGTGACCAGCCTTGACTCATCTTCAACCTCTTCCTCTTTCTCAGGAGAGAGAAAGAAGTAATCCATTTGGATCAACCCTGTTCCTTCACGTGCTGAGGATTGATCCCTCCTATGCCAATCTTGCTTCGCCTTACCCGACACGCACTCTGCACACCATGGTTGAAACGGTAGGTGTGTAAGGCGGTGGGATTCCACCTGCGCCTCAGTGGGGCTTATGGGTTGCGACAACCCCTCTGGCTCCACAGGTGGCGGGGCTTCCGCTTCTTCCTCCAGGTCTGCCAAGAGACCGAGGTCTTGTTCCGGAAGCTCCTTGGCCTTTCTCACTTCTTCTTCACGCCTGGCATATTCTTGCACTGCCTCGGCTTCTTCATCCTCTTGCATGGCATAGGCTTGAACTGCCACTGCATCTTCATCGATGGCTGCCACCTTGCCATATCTGGTGGTAGGTTGCTCCAACTCTTCAAACGGAAGGAGAAACTGTTTGCCCTGCCTGGCAAACGTGGCTTTCCTGCCATCTGCCCATTGGATGTAGCAGTTGTCACTTTCAAAGTGGACACTGGCTCCAATGTCCAATGCCCTGTTGACTGACAGGATGTTTTCGTTCACACCTTCAACCACCTGAAAGGTGACTTGAGCTTCTTCTTTGAGCTTGTCTCCAAGCCTGAGCTGAGGGCGGATTTCCCCGCACGCCTTCAGTGGAGTGTCATCCACCGTGTATAGTTCCTCAACGGCGTTGGGGTCCAAGAGAGCACTTGGAAAAGCCTCAGGTCTACAGACTGAAGAGCAGGCTCCTGTGTCCACCAGCAGTGTGCCTCTGCTGGCAACCTTGGCCACTCGTGCAGTGTCATCTCTTTGGAAGACTTGAAGTGCCCATATCCTGGTGCCTTGAAACGTCTCGTGTGGCTCATGCAGGAGCTTCCATTTCTTTCTGAACTCCTTGCAATCCCAGGCGTTGGACTTTTCATTCCACTGCCACGTTGACCTAAACGTGTAGCCAGGATACTGCGACCCTGGTGTAGCATACTTTCGTGTGGCACCCTTCTTGCCTTTCACCACAAACACCTTGGTGTTGGGATCAGGGTCGTGCCATCCAGGGTGGTCTCGATAGGCAAAAATTGCTTCCAACTTGGATACAAGAGATTCCTTTGCCAAAATGGCATTGCCAGTAGAGATTCCTCCACCTTCTGGTATGGCCAAAATGGCCTTTGGTGAAACATGGCGGTGTTGCCCGCTGCTGGTGGCCTTGACCATGAGAAGTCGGTGTTCCCCGATCATTCCAACGTTCTTCCCTTTGTTGGATGTGGTCGTGGATGGAAGGGTGATTACACTTTGACCACCAACTTGAGATGCAGATGGCCCTGCAGAGATCACTGACGCATTGTCTTCAGTGATGCCTGCAACTCCTTTCTTGCCCTTCCCCTTTGGTTGGCCTTTTGAGTTGAACCAACACTTCTCAATGGTATGGCCGGTTTTCCAGCATATAGCGCAACGATCCTTTTCCTGTTGACCTTTGCCACCTTTGTTGTTGTGGCTGTCTTTCCCTTTTCCTTTGGCCTCTTTCCCTTTGCCCTTCTTATGGTCCTTTCCCTTGCCATCTTTTCCTTTCCCCTTTCCTTTGCCATCACCAACAAGGCTGATGTCCATGGCATCTGGGTCTCTTGTGCGTGCGGCGGCTCCCGCATACGCGGCTGATGGCCTCCAAACCTGCTTTGCTTGCAGATAGGACACCACCACCTCACGCACAGACTGATACGTGGAAAGGGTTCCAATGTGCATGGAAAGGTGTTGCTTCAGGGCGGTTGGCGCCTCAGTAAGGACTACAGCTCTTTTGTCTTCGTCACTGATGGCCTTACTGGGACCATATTCGGCCTCATACTTGTCAAGATCAGCTTCCCACTCTTGGAGTGCCGCTGAAAACTCGGCTTCCTTTGCAGGAAACTTGGGACTGAGCAACGAGCGCCGCCAGATCAAACTCTTGGAGTGATTGTCTGGGGCCATTTCACGCCACAACAGTCTCCAAAACTCAAAACCATTTTGGTCTCGAATGCCACGGGCAATCTTACTTGCCACTGCCAATTCTTGAGTCCACGAGTTCAGCATTGCAAACAATTGCCTCCCTCGGGATTTGGCTTCATCAGTCATATCGACTGGATCCACAAAACTGGTGAGCTTGCGTGCATTGTCCAAGTCTGCTGGAAAGTTTTCGTCCAGCAAAGCCAAGTATGTTTCTACTTGGAAACTGAACCGTTCCCATTGGTCTCGATCCTTTAAGGATTGAGGCTGTTTCACAGACTTGAGCACGTCAATATGATTGACCGGCTTACTGCTTCCGGCGGGTGTTCCCGCGCTCTGGAGCGGGGGAACTTGCCCTTGGGCGCCGCCTACGTTCGCGGTCTGCTGCAAGGATTGCTGCAATAGTGCCATGACGCCTGTCAGGCGCTGGTCCAGCTCTTGCTTTTCCTGCTGCAGCTGGGCGTTCTGCTGCACCTGGCTCTGATGAGCGATATTCAATGCTTGCATCTGACTCGCTAGAGCATCCATCCTCAGCTGCATCTCGCCGATGACCTGTTGTGGGCCAAGCTTCACTCCGGACAGCCGTTTCCAGTTTTACATGTTTGCAGAATAGGTTCAGAATATGTTCATAGTTCGGACATATGCAATAATAGGTTTTTCATTGAAATTTGAAAATGCAGCTCAGCTGACCTCAGCTGCAGCTTTCTTGGAGTCGTTCTGGCTGAGTTCAGCCATTATTTTCTTTGTTGAACATGAATCATGAGAAACTGCTGGGATTTGAAATGTTTTTTGCATCTTTCGTTTTGGAATGGGAAAGCTGCATTGCAGTGCATTGTGCTTTCACTGGAAGGAACCGCTTTGATTTTTTTACGCGTGTAGGACGAATTTTTCAGTGACATAGTGAGCACAAAACAAAACGAAAACAAAATAGTGAATTGCTGCAATGTTTGAGCCATGCGTGGCACATTGAACCTATGTTGAGCTTATGTTTATGTTGAGTTGGGCCAAGAATGGCGTTTTCCACGGGGCTTCACCAGGCCCAAAAGGAACATCATGAAGATGCAGTTTTTGAACCATGTTGGTCTTATGGGGGCCTCTCTTGTTGGAGGCTCCTTGGCCTTGGCTTGATTTAAGACATCAAGGAGCTCATGTTTTTGGGGCCATGTTGGGCCCTTGGGGGCCATGTTGGGGCCATCTTGGGCCTATGTGAGACCTATGTTGGGCAATTTTTGGGCCCGTGTCTTCGCGCTAAAAATTCCGTAATTTTTAGCGCGAAGAAATTGGGCTTGGAATGGCCTATGTTGGGCCTATTTTGAGTCATGTTGGGCTTGTTGGGGGCCATGTTGGGGCCATCTTGGGCCTACGTGAGACCTATGTTGGGCAATTTTTGGGCCCGTGTCTTCGCGCTAAAAATTCCGTAATTTTTAGCGCGAAGAAATTGGGCTTGGAATGGCCTATGTTGGGCCTATTTTGAGTCATGTTGGGTTTGTTGGGGGCCATGTTGGGGCCATCTTGGGCCTACGTGAGACCTATGTTGGGCAATTTTTGGGCCCGTGTCTTCGCGCTAAAAATTCCGTAATTTTTAGCGCGAAGAAATTGGGCTTGGAACGGCCTATGTTGGGCCTATTTTGAGTCATGTTGGGCTTGTTGGGGGCCATGTTGGGGCCATCTTGGGCCTACGTGAGACCTATGTTGGGCAATTTTTGGGCCCGTCTCTTCGCGCTAAAAATTCCGTAATTTTTAGCGCCTTTAGCGCGAAGAGTAAACTTCAAGGGACGGACAAAAAATGGGACTATCTTAGTCCCATTTTTGGGTCCCAACAAACACTCAACTTAAGCATGTCACAGTTTATTTGTTGTCACTCTTTGACACTGCTTTATTTTAAAAGCAAGAGGGTGCTGGCAGTATCTGTTCTTATCAGACAGCAGTTGCTGATGCGTGTCGTGATTCAGCTTTCTTCTACGAAGTCGATATAGCTTTATCTTAAAGAAACAAAGTTGCTGTGTTATTTGTGGCTATGTGCCACTTTGTTCCACGCAACGTGTACTGCTATATATACGATGTTGGCTCCGATTTGGAGTGCGCTATGTTTTGCGATATGTGTCATATAGATACATATGCGTATGTTTCCGGTACGTGCGTAGGACGCGTGCGTTGGTGTAGGAGGGTCACCCTATAGCTATAATGCATCCAAACCTCAACCTTAATTTTTCTGAACTGGAACTTTTCCAACTGATGTCAGTTTGTTTTGAAAAGGTTCGTTTTGTCTTTTGCACGAATGCTGTGATGTTTCATTTCTGCACATCCAGATTGCATTACAATTTAAAATGCATTGTCTGTGAATCTTGCACATATTTGTCGTTGATTGCAATGACTATTTCTTATGTCCTCTGTATTTTGGCTGCAGTGGTGGGTGGGTGGGTTTCTTACTCACTCTCGAGTAGCTTGTTGCACATGCGTTCCAATAAATGATAAGATCTGTTCTTATCAGTGTGACAACTCAGTTTTATTTCATGTGACATTTTGGTTTAAGTGGAGGGTGGGCGGGAGACCTTTTAGTCGCGGCATCCCAATGGAATAACTTATGGGCATTGTTTTTTCACTGACTGGATAATGATAAGATAAGCGAATCGCAAACTGGTGCCAAAGTTACCGAAATGCACCCAAAACCAAAACGAAGAAATTCAAGAAGCGTTTTGGAACAATGAACAATCTGTTGTTGTTCTTGCACTTTTCTTTTTCTTGTGGCTACTGCTTGCATGCTTTTTTCAGGCCAGGTGGATCCTGTCCTGTGACTCTGACACTAACTCGGACCGTCCCCAGTGACCGGTGACGAGTCTGTAGTTCGTTTGTTCGACTTGTCGCAATATCATTTGAACTGTATGACGCCGTATGACGTATGACGTGGAATGAATTATGGAATTGTGGAATTGAATCGTGGAGTTTGGAGTTTGGAGTGTTTGGAGTCCATGTCTAGTGTGTATATAGAAGACCTTCAAACATACACACACACATAGTTTATTTTTGTGTGAAATGTGTAGTGTGTGTGTGTGTGTGACAGATGAAAGCATGCGGGTTGAATTGCGGGACAGGTGACAGGTGCACTTCAGTCTGATTGCAAGGCTGCAAGGTAAAATGATATGTGATGTGATATGTGTTGTTGAATTTGAATTTAAGGTTGTCATTTTTTCGCAAAGACAAGTCAAGTGCCACAACAGAAACTGAAGATAATGCAAGTTGCAATGTTTGGATTCGGGATTACTTGGACACGGGCGACACGGGCCTGACATGGGCAGAAGTTGAAACTGAACTTGCAGCCTTGCAGCAGCTATGGCTCAAAATGAGCTTTCAGTGCTTTCAGTGCTAATTGTTTTGTATGATATTTTTGTATTGATTCGTAAGCGATTCAACAGTTCCTTTCCCAAGACAACATTTACTTTGACCGACCACAGGCTACAGGCATATAATGCAAATCAATTCAACACTGGTTTTGCGAAACGCTTTCATCGAGGTTGCAGTGAACTTTCTTACTTAGTATTCACCTGCTGCTTCTGTGCCACTTCGGAAACCCATGTCTGAGGAGGTATATTTTTGGCTTTGCAGTTTCCCAAATGATTTCAAGCATCAGAAAATTTCCCAGCTTGGAAGCAGACATCACAAACTTGGCCTGCCTCCATGGATGTCTCAGCGGTTAAATCTTGAATCGGGCGGCCATCGATTTCCAAGCCTGCCAACACGGTGTGTTTTGGCTTTGTGCAAAGGTAGTTTCGCAGGTGTGTGGGCAGGGCCATTGACTCAGATCGGCGTGGAGGAAGCTCTTCTTATGAAGTTCTGGCATTATCCCACAGATGCGTGGTTTTTGAGTTTCTTGCCATTGATTTTGCAAACGTTGTGCATTTTGGATTTAATCACCATGAGCAAGAGTGGACCACAAAAATGCAGATCTAATTTGGGTTTTGCGGCCACCCCATCCAAGACTTGGATTGAATCAATACGATTTGCAATTGAAATGATTGTTTAGGAATTAAACAGTGTGATTGACCAGCCTAGAATTAGGGTGTGAAAAAATTGATTCAACAACGCATTTTGGTATTGAAGTGGAGATATGATGCAGGTGGGCAAAATTTGGCTTGCATTTTGGTTAGAACTTCCAAAGCGCATCAGGTGTCAAGCAAGTTTGGCATCTATTGGAGCCATTGCCAGTTTCGGAAGCAGTCTTTCAGCCTCATGCTCGCTGCTTTGATGGTGTATGGCGGCCACACCGCGATTCATATCATCGAAGTGCTTCTGAAACAGAGCCGTTTGTTCCATTGATCTTAGCTCTTGACATGGGAGATATTCTGCTGAAGACCAATGATGGGGGAAGTTGCTGTGTTCGTCGCATGATGCCATCACAGCATGCGCCGGACTTGGACTCTGTATTTGTTTTGCCACAGCCAGAATCAGTGTGCCATCTCTTATTGAAGAGAGCATGGTCAAAACTTGTAGTTTTGGGCCGATGGGGTGCTTTCACATCTCTTTTACCCGAAAGAGTCCAAGAGCAGATTGGACACAAAGGTGCCGATCCTCCTTGCCCGTCAGATGGTCAGATTCGGATGACTGCGCCTGCTTGCATGGCACTGGTGACGCATATTCGCAGGTGGGCCCCATCCGTATTGACTTTGGCTGAGGACGTAGAGGGCGAGCGCGTGCACTTGGAGGCTTCGGTTCGGTGGCTTCAAAACATTGCTTGCAGTCTTCCAACACCTGGAGTTGATGATGCAGATGCAACATTATTTCAACGTAATCGTCAAGCGTATTCGTCTCTGTTCATGATCAAGATGCTGCTTTTAACGCCGCTGATTCCTGGGAGTGTTGATATGAAGAAGGTGTTGCTTGATGCAGCATCGCTTTTATTTCCCCATTTGAGTCGTGTGTGCGAACAGCTTTTGGATAAGCCGAATGTGTTCCCAACATCTGGAACACGACACCAAGCGCGACTTGTGTTGGATAGCGCATTGCTTTTATGGAGACGTTTGCAGGGAAATTCTGAAGATGAATATGTCCGGTTTGCTGGTGCAGACGCATCTCCTCAAGCAGGCCATGATTTTCTTCTGAGCAGCACAGACTACATCAGAAAGGATAAGCTAGTCCCGTTGGTGCAAGCAGTAGGAAGAATGATGCAGGATGCTGAAGACAGATTATCGGGGGTTTGGACGGGACAGAGTGAACAAAGCATAGCTGACCACCACTTTGTCCGTTGCAACCTCCGCAAGGAGGATGATATTCCAGTTGCCCTTGGCAACAGCGCAAGTTCAGCTGCGCACAAGGTAGCAGGCATGTTGCACAAGTATGCGTTGCGGTGCTCATCAGAAGTTGCCCTGAAGAATTATTTGGGTAGTGTCTTTTCTTTTTGCAGCGACATGGGCACAGAGCTGCACATAAGTTCATTTCGCGTGCAGAAACTGGATCAGCTCCTGCCTTCATGATTGCGTTTGGGCGATTTGACGGAAGATGTTCAATGCTGTGCTCCTGACAGCTTATCGTTGGAAAGTGATGTTTGTGTTCCTTCGGAATCAAATCGGATGGTGCCACTTCCAAACCTTGCAGAAGATCCTCACGAGACCGAGCAATTGAATTCTCAACCGTTTTTGCCGAAGGCATTGCTGGTTCCAGGGATGCTTCATGTAATGAGCAATGGGTTGCAACATGTGACCAGTCAGTTGACCTATTTCGACCATTGGTTTGATCAGCTGCAGGTGATTGAGCAGCTGTGGAAGAACGGTCGTCTACCCAGGTTCATCAATTATTGCTTGAAGCCGGCTGCCCCTGAGCATATCGCAGCCATGTTTTTCCAAAGGAAGCTGGGCTCTTTGTACGTCAAAAGGTGGAACGAGGTAAGCCGTTTTTGCTTGCGCCTTGCAGATTTGCTGCCTTACTTGAAAGCATTTTGGAATGCTGATGCATTCAATTCTGCGAATAAGATGAACGCTTCCTCAGCAGACTCTGAGTTTGATCCTGGCAAATTGACGGCCATCCTTCAAGATGCGATGTTTTCTGCGTGCCATGTTTTAGTCATTAGTATCGGGGATTGGCAATCAGAATTTAACAGTTCGCGTTTTTTCAAATGGCATATTCAATTTGCATCCATCTATATAATGTTTATATTCCAATTGCTGGTCCCTGCATATTGTTTTTGAGGTTTTGGTTTTTATTGTGCTTTGATTTTTCTGGTTGTCAAGAGCCATGGTTTGTTGTGTTTGCTCGGCGGATGAAACCCGAAAGTTTCATAGATCATTGGAGCAGGGGTTCCATGGAAGTCTCTGGATCGTAGAATCTCCAACAAAAACTTATCTACTCGCAACAAAAGAATCGGTCGCAACAAAAGTGGTGAAGCAATCTGATTTGGAAACCGACACCAACACGGCACACAAGCCGCTTGACATGGAAAATGACAGCACAACATCAAATTAACATGCATCCATGGGCCTCTATTCACCCAATGTTTGGATCAAGTGAAATTCGAAGCTTCACAAAACTATATTCAGGAAAAACATTCCAAAACAGTCAGAACCGTAATGGTCAATCGTACCAAGACGGATCCCCCAAATTTTGTTTCAATCCATATCAAAGTTTCCCTAAAAATAAATTCATGTAAAACGGTCCCAAAATGGAGCCACCAACCCTATATATATTTTTTTTTTCGCCTTTTGACCTTAAGCCAACATATTGCCACTTTGGTTTTGGTACCATTCTTTGCTTTCCAGAGGCATTCGGGAACCTTATGCAGCATCACTGCCGAAGCATTTTTCCATTATGTTAAGTTAGGTAACATTAAGCGAGAATATAAATGGCTCATTGCATTTTTCGCTTGCAGGTATTTTGATGTTGTCATCCGAATCCCGGCTTTCCTCCTGATGATGATCATTTTCATACACCTTTTCATTCACCACCACGACCAAAGGACGACATGCCAGATGATGAGATGCATACACCGCCAGATTAACCACCTGACTTACCACAACATCCATCATCACCACCTGATCATCCTCAACCACCATTTCCTGGAGCCACTGGCATTCCTGTTGCTCCAGATGCAGTTATTGTGCCCAATACGATTATACCACCAAACGTTGAAGACACACCAATGGTACAGAGTACCAAGCGACCACCGGGTGATCCACCGATACCACCTGCAACTAAGGCTCGACCATCTAGACAAATGCCTCCTGCGTCTTCAACCCAATTTCAGCCTAGTAACCATTTGGGGGGTGATACACAGCCATCAGTCACACCAAACGCGACCACACAACCGGCTGTAGTCGCTCCGAGTACTTCAAAACCGAAGAAACCCAAGGATGATGCTGTGCCTGATGACTTTGATGATGACGAGCCTGACCCAGATGCAGGACCATCCGGTCACAATGGACCGCCGATACTTCCGCCAGACGGAGATGAACCTTTAATCCTTCACCAATGCCGGAGAATGATCCGCAACCGGACACCCAAGATCAGCAAGAGCCGCAAGAAGAAGAAGAAGAAGAAGAACCAGGAGAAGAAACCGATGAAACAATTCCTTATGGTTCTACTGATACCGATGAGACTCTTGACTACAATGATCTTGTTATTGACGATTCAAATTGGTGTTTTCTGTCACAAGAACAGAAGTTGTGCAGTAACACTGCATCATTCTCCGTGCCTAGATTGGTTGATGGCTCACCTGTAGCACTGAGTAGTGTAGAATCTTCCAATTCTATTGGTATGTCTTATTCCGTTGTTTCGGAGAGACAACGCACACGATGCCGTAAGACCAGATCTGATATCATTGAAGAATACCACGGCATTAGCGATGAAGATAAGGCGTTTATGACATTGTATTCGATGACGGACAAATTTTCTTATCTTGTTGGCAAGAAGAGAAAGGATGCCACTCAGCAAGAGAAGAGACAACTTGCCAAACAGTTTTTAGGTGCCAAAAAGGCTGAATGCCAATCTTGGATTGACAATGAAGTTTTTGATCTTGTTGACATGAGAAAGACCAGAGTCAGAAATTTCGTAGCTGGAAGATGGGTTCTTACCGTGAAGAAAGACAAAGATGGTAACTTTCAGAAGTGTAAGGCTAGATGGGCCCTCAAAGGTTTTCAAGATAAACAGAAGAACACCCAGCAAACAGACAGCCCTGCAGCATCCCGTGCAGGTTTCCGATGTGCCACACAGTTAGCCGCAAATTACCGCTGGGATTTGTATCATATGGACCTCAAGACCGCTTTTCTCCAAGGTGAAGTGAAGCCTATGATGAAACGAGAGACATCATTTGCCAGATACCACCTGAATACGGCTACCCGCCGTATATCGGTGCTAGGCTTAAGAAACCTGGTTACGGTCTTAATGATGCGCCACGCCGTTGGCGGCAGATCATTGATAAAGCCTTACTTGATTGTGGACTTGTTCCTACACGCGCAGACAGATGTACATATGTTTTGTATGACAGTACTTCCAAGACCAAAACTTATCAACCACCTCGCAGTGTCAGTACTGAACAGGTAACCATTTCTGAAGCAATTGACCATCTTATGGATCCGGTAGCCCGCAACAATGCCCAAGGACGCCGACCTCATGGTTTTATTTGTTTTCATGTTGATGACCTGCTCATGGCAGGCGACAAGGTGTTTGAGTCCAAGGTTTTGTCCACTCTGCGTAAGAACCTTGCGGTTGGTTCAGAAGACAAGAATGACATTATGTTTGTAGGACAACGCATCAAATGGAAGTATGGACCATACATTTCTGTTGGCCAAAAACTTGCTGTCGATGCAGTAGAAGAAGTGAAGATCGATAAGTCCTTGAAAGATAACATCCAATGTAACCCACAACTTCATACAGCATATCGATCAGTTCTTGGACAGCTCAATGGGTTACAGAGCAGAACTCAGGTTCACATTTGTTACAAGTTTTCGCGTTGTGCCTCAGCCGCTGCTAGTCCGACTATCGGAGATGTCAGGGAAATCAACAAGGTTGTTCGCACCCTTAAGGGTCAGTATATTGATGGTAGATTTTGGCCACTGAAGGGTTCTCAGCGCATCCTTGGCATGCCCGATGCTTCTTATCGCAACAACAGTGACAAGTCTAGCCAGCGTGCTCATGTCATTTTCTTAGCCGAAGACCGCAATTTGCCTTCCAAGGGAACATACCGCAATTCCGGTTACGACAAGCAAGCACACCGTATAAACGGTTCTGACTCAGCAACACGTGGATCGATCATTGATTTTGAAAGTCATAAGATAACTGCTACAACACAACCCACTACTGTTGCAGAATTGAATGCTTTAATGAAATGCTTCGGTACATGTTTGTTTTTGCGTGCACTCTGGGCCGATATCAGCGGCGAGATCGTTCCGATTCACATCAGGACAGACGCAAACAACTTAGTCACAACTGCTCAGACCACACATTTACCTGAACGAAAGGAGACCCATCATTTAATACAGACGCTGAGACACGAAAGTAACACCGGTCATTTAGACGACTTGAGTCACATTGCAAGTAAGTATTGTCTGGCAGATCCACTTACCAAATCGACCGCAAAACCAGACCAATTAGTGTCGTCCATTACAACTGGCAAACTCGAGAATGTAGATGTACATCCACCATTCCGGTCGTTACTGAAACATAAGGCGTTTTTGACAACATGGGTCATTGAAACCTTGTCTGAGCCACATAATGTGTTGACGTTTTTCTGTGAAGACATTCCAGACTATGTTTTTGCCATGATTTACTTTGAAGAGTGAATTTTCGTCTCAAGAAAATTTGTGTCTGCAATCTCTCGGCTCACAGGGTTCACTGCATTTGTACGATTGCCGGACACGAACGTCCCATTGGCACCTGTTAGATCTCACCGAACCTTTTACCGCCGAAGTTGGACCTACACCTTGATTTTTTTTCTCTGAGTGTCACTGACTCGAAGGAGCGACGGCCTGAAGCTCCAATCTGTTTATGCCACCGAAGTTCTCAAAACCTATCCGAACTGAACATTCCGCATCTGCGGATCAGACACCTCGTGGTTTTCGTAACCCGAGAGGCCAAAGACCACAACGCACGCCGCGCGGTGGACGTTCCGAATTTTCGGACAGACGCCAGCCACGTGACAAATCCCATTTAGAGCAACGCACTCGTATAATCGAGGATGCCTTTCATGCTGATATTGATTCAATTCGAACTAACAATCTTTGTTTTACTCAATGTATTGCTCAGGTACTCCGAAAGCAGTCAGGCATAAGAACCAACGAAGACCATGACGCCGCATTAGCGGACTATTACTTTGAACTGGGTTCCCGCCATATGTCGTATATCTTTCGTCATACGAATTTACTTCATGAGGACGGGGCCCTGTCGTTGCACGAACTTCTTTATCACCAAGCAACTGCTCGGAAAATTAGAGAAGGACTTCAATCACTTATTCAGCTGGACGTTGGTGAAGTTCCTATTAGTCTCCAAGGCCGGAACAATACAATGCGCTTCCTAATGCCACTTGCACATGTCGTATGCGACTCCAACAAGTCCAGAGCCATGATCGGTTATTTAACCACCGACAACTTCGAACCAGGAAAGATTCCGTACTCGGATGCCTGGTTTAAGCCTGCCGATTTCGGCGATGACCAAGCTCGCGAGGCGCAAGCTGACGAACTTGACGGCATTGATGTAGCAAGTATTTTCCTCAGGTTCGAAAGTGGTCATTCCAATAATGTTTCAATTCAACATTGTCCTTTTAGACCTGATATGTTCCCACTGAGGTACCTGGTGCATGGCACCAACGAGAAAAACCTTCCGTCTATTCGGAGACTCGGCCTGCTTCCGGGGGTACCCGTGGTGGAAGAAACCATGTCCACCTAGCACTCGACTGCCTTTTAAGCACCATGAATGATGCCTTGCGTCCAGAGTCCGACTGCATCCTGATCGCTAGGCCTGGAGCCGTTTCAGATTTAAATCCTGTCATTATTCAGAGTCGTTATGTTCTGACCGATCAAACCATATCGTTTAGTAGGTTTTGTGGCGTCTGGTCCCTGG